CACCCTGGCCGCCGACATCCTGACCCTGGCTCCTTTGCTGGACGGCGGCGGCCCGCCTTGGTTCGCGGGGGCGGCGCAGCTCGGCACAGGGGCGGGACGAAGGGGGGGCAGGGAAGGGAAGGGCGAGTCTGGGGTTTTACAACACAAGCCCTCAAGTCTTTTTGTGAACTGCATGGTGGCATTTTGGCGCGCGGGCTGCCCTTCGCATCGGAAAATCTTTTCAAATGACAGAAATGACAGCAACGAGAAAATTGGTTTAAACAACAACAATGAGCCATTTTTGGGCAGCCAGGTAAAAATTTTTGAAAAGATCCCAAGGGCTAAATTACTTCCAGAAATCAACTTTACACTTTTAAATTTAAGACTCCGAAACAACAAGCTACATAGATTGGAATATGCATTTATGGAGAAAAATCGGTTGAAGGGTAAACCTTAGCGTTGTTCACGAGACAGACGGCAGACATACGATTTGCCGTCAATCGATTTGCTATTAAGACCCACCAAACATGATTTTGGCTACACTATGTCTTAAGATGATTTCCTCCAAAAACCCCTACATTATCACTGGATTTTTCAAATTCTTTGTTACCAGGGTCCTGAATAAGGAATTTCTGCCGAGTTCGACGGGTTTTCCGCATAAGCGATAAACATACTTCTCTACTGCAGTAAGTGTAACCGAAAATTAACTTCGTGTGCCAACAAACTGGCACATGAGCTTTCCCGTTATAGTTTTATATTTCCTTTGCCTCGCTAAGCTACTCGGACTTACCACATAATCTTGCAGCTTGCCATGCTAATTTTTCAAAAACGAAAGGATAGACCAATATGGCGCTATATGTCGCTGTAGAGTTATATTTAGCATTCACCCAAACGAAAAATGAAAGAACAAATTTGGAGAGTTATTGAACAACAAGGCATGTTTCAACGAACATGTGACTTGTGACAACGACATATTTCTTAAAGCGTTTTTACGCTACTTAGGTCCAATTGAATCAAACATTTTGTTGCAGTTTTTACGAAACAATGTTTACAGAAAATAAAACGCTGCCAACTCTTTGAAGCAATTCTTTTTCAAAAACATACTCAATATGTTCAATAAAATAGGACATGATATTAATTAAAAGTTTTATTTTTGATAAAACACATTTTCATTAAAAAAATTATACAAATTAGCATTTATAAATAACGTAGAGATCTACACATTCTCTTAAGCATATATACTTATTGCAGATTGCACCATTCTCTAATTAGTGCAACTATAGTTTCGAGATCAAAATTAAAAAAAATTGTGGCGCCGTCTTTAAAAATCAACAAAACTTTTGCAAAAACCTAAGCAAATATTACAATAAATATTGCAAATTACTTTTAGATTCAAGCCAGGGGGCCATTACATTCTAGTTAGGCAATAAATATGTAATAAACTCTGTCACTTGCCCCAAAAGTCGAAGAGGTGCAACGTATGGATCCCTCACGAAAATAACGACGCCCCAAAGGCTTTCTAGCGAATGTAAGTTAAAAATTATGTTTAGATGTTCTACCATGTTTAAATTTTGGTATTAATTTAGTCCTGCTAATAACAGTTTTTTCTTTATAGGAAGTAGCCCGACCAATAATTTGCAGGTGACTGAAATTGCAGTGAAGAAGCCTACTAATACTACAGTGCTTTTACTTGTTATTGCCATTTGATGTACCTGGGAAAGGAAATCGTTTTTGAAGGAACAATACAACCACTTTTCTGAATAGCAATCATAATATTATAAAAAATTCTCTTAGGCATAGAAGTAGCCGCGGCTGATCATAGCAGCGACTTGGTTTGCAGGAGCCCGCTATTAATAACTCTGCTTTACTAATACCTTTGCTTTAAAATTACATTATAGTTGACGTAGATTTTTAAACAAAACAAGCACTGGATATGGTTACCTCAGCTCCTATAAATCAAACGGAATAAATTGTCGACCTTTTGAAAGTTTTTATACATAGAAATATTGAGTCAAAATGTATTGGAAGTAGGGAGAATTTCTACTATATTAGGTAATTGGCCGAAGACAATAAAGTTGCATCCTTAATTGGCTAACCATAAACAGATGACATTGCAAGCATCTTAGGTTAAATACAGGTGTTCTAGCATATCTATTTGCGGTTTCACTCAAATAAAATGAAAAATAGGCAATTTCTTTACTTACAATACAAAATTATTATTAAATTATTATACCTAAAACACAAACCATATTCCAAGTGCAGTCTAAATTTCAAAATTCAATTTTGACTGAAAAACGTAGTTTTAAAAATTAGAAATTAACGCTTAAATATTCATTCACAGTACAAAATTATAGGCTAGTTAATTTTGAATTTCGAACAAGTGGGGGTTGCAACTTGACGGAGGTACTGCATGACTCTGTGCCACGAGCCACAGAGGGGGCTATCTCAGCAAACGCAGACCCCCCCACTTGTTCGCTTGAGTGATCTGGTGAGAACCAGTGTTACCAAATCGTCTGCACATGGTAGCATCTCATTTCTCATACATAATTCATTCCAAAACAGGCAGCGTTGAAAGAAGGTTAAACCTGGACACGACCTTATCGACCGTACGCCAACATGTGGAAGACTTAATAAAAGGAAAACATCCATCTTTCTTTCTAATTACAGTAATCGGCGGCGCCGTTTGAAGAAACGCCGTCGGCGAGGCGTTGGGGCTAATTTCTTTCCCTCTAATTTCCTCCTTAAAACAAAGGACTCGAAAGATCTTTTTTTAATTTACTTCATTCAGTTTTTCAAGATGTGCATCTACAAATTGGTAAACAATACAGTGGCAATGCGTGTTCACGACGGTGAGGAGAGCATGCATAGAAACAGAATGTATTGAAATATATGGAGGCTTCGTAAGTTTGGACCAAAGAAGGTTTTTTAATGTTACTTAGTAGTTTTAGTAACTGCCTCAATGAATCTCCAAATGGCGGAAACAAAAAAACGAAAAATTTTTGGGGGGGTTTCTCGATCAGCAATTATTCTCATACCAAAACGTGTTAGATAATTTGTATACTATCTGCACACGACGAGCTAGGAATAATAAAATTATACCTAGCGAGTTTTATTCCGAAAACGGAAAAACGAAAAATTTCTTTAGGGGATTTGTCGATCAGCAATTATTCTCATACCAAAACGTGTTAGATAACTTGTATACTATTTGCACACGATGAGCTAGGAGTAATAAAATTATTCCTAGCGGATTTTATTCCGAAAACGGAAAAACGAAAAATTTCTTTAGGGGTTTTCTCGATCAGCAATTATTCCCATACCAAAATGTGTTTGATAACTTGTAGATTATTTGCACCCGATGAGCTAGGAATAATAAAATTATTTATTATTATTATTATTATTATTATTATCATTGTATTATGTATGTTTGATTCAACTATCCTCGTCACTGTGGATTAAATGTTTGACAGTTTTAAAGACTTTTTCCATTAAATCTAATCACTGTTCCTGCCTCTCAAGATACAGACTACATAGTCCGCGTCTCTCAAATCCGTCAAACGAATACATGTTAAATGTGTATGTTTTTAAATCCGTCAATTGTTTCCTATCAGATACCGAGATACCGTTCTATTTTTCATTGGTTTAAATTGTAAGCGGATGATTTTTAAGTTATTTTGCTATGTATTTAATATAAGAAATAATAATCTAATTTATATTCTTAGTAGGTATTCTTACAGCCCTTTATCTTGTTTACGAACACACACCTATAATTATAATTTTGTCTCAGAGTGGTAATTTTCCAAGTACCAACACTGTTGCAACTTGGGTCTCGACCAACTACGCTGCCGTATTTTACTTCATTACTGATTTCGCCTTCTCAGTATTCGTGAATTCTTCCAACAGGAAACTAAAACATCTGAACTTCATTTCGGAAATTAACTAACATTTCTACTATTTCCTAACAACCTAGAACACAGCATTTATTTACCATTTCACCATAAATCCATAAAGAAGTTAAAAAGTTGTCACACAAAAGGAGGTTCCTCACACATCAACGTCGCACGATCTTATCGCCTCTTCAACAGTAAAATATCCTGTATATTGTGTTTCTATATTCACAATGGTGAATACTTTAAATTCTTGGGTGTCCGGGAGGCGCCGCGTCGTTGGCTGAGAGGCCTTCAGCCTTTGGCCTCTCAGCCAATGACGCGGCGACTCCCGGATAGCCAAGAATTTATGGAATCGAGCCGCGGAATGACATGTGCAATGTTGAATACTGGTGAACACGGCCTCATCGTTACCTGTCCTCTCCCCTCACACACACAAACACACGTTTACACTTACATGCTCTACAAAAGCGCCCTTGATGGAAGACCAATCGGGAGCTTAGAGCTTGTCGCAGATGGGACGAAGCCCAGCATTGAGATACCTGCGGGAGGAAAAACCGCAAGTCTCCACGAACGTCGGCGCTGGATTTCACATTCAATCGGGAAAGGAACACCGCAAACGCCTGGAATATAACACACACTACATTTACGGGACAAACGGCCATTTCTAGTTGTCGTGCCCGGAATAACTAATCACTGAATCTATCCACGGTATGAACTTGGTCCCGTGCGAGAGGTGCAAACCAGCTGTGCCTCAAGACCTTAAATACAAGACCAGAACAACCGTCATTATTTAATATCATTCGTTAGCCCCGTCAGTCAGCATTCTCGAGTTGAGAAGCGTTGCCAATTAAAGGCATTGGGAGATTTTCAATGACATTGTTTTAGCATAAATTGATAGCTCCCAACACATACACACAACCGCGCAGTTGGATTTCTCCTGATAACTGCGCATTAAATGGTGAAATGGAAAGAGCGAATAAATGCGCTATTTTGAATCTAGAGACTCTGTGTCATTCTTGCGTTCCCCCCGATGTGTGCAGACGCGCGTACCGGATCTGCGTGTGCGCAGGGGTTGCGCGAACCAAATGCTGGCTCTCTCGCCATGCCCCCAGTGTGCGTTGACGGGTGTGCGCCATGTGCTTGCGCGGTCCGAATTGCGCAGTCTAGTGTCAACGCGTTTTGCCACGTGCAATTGCTCCATCCCTCTAGACCGACTACTTACTAATCTAGGTGCTGTTGAACCCAACCGTGCCCTACCCGCGATGCCTCCTCTTGTGCGCTGACGGGTTTGAGCGGTGTGGGCGGTGTGGGCGGTGTGGGCGGTGTGAGCGGTGTGGGCGGTGTGGGAGGTGTGGGCGGTGTGAGCGGTGTGATTGTGCGTGAGAGATGCGCGGCCCGGATTGCACAGTCTAGTGACAACCTGTTTGGCCCCATATAAATTCCAATATTGCTTTGTTTGCCATTCCCGCGGTCTCCCTTGGTATATGCTGACGGGTGTGCGTACTGTGCTTGTGCACAGTGGTGGCACACCCGGGGTTGCGAGGCTCCAATCCAGCTGTGCCGTTCCCGCGATGTCCCTTAGTGTGTGCTAACGTATTGGCGCGGCGTGCATGTGCGCAAGGGTAGCGCGGCCGGGGTTGCGCTGCCTAGTAGCAGCTCCAACCTATCTGTGCCGTTCCCGCGATGTCCACTAGAGCATTCTCACGAGAGTGCGCAGGGGTTGCGGGGCTGCTGTTGGCGCTGGTGTGCGTGGTGCTAGGGTTGTGCGCCGCTCCAAGGTGCTCTCTGGTGTGTGTGTGTGTGTGTTGAAGGTGTATATGTGTGTGTGTGTTGAAGGTGTATGTGTGTGTGTGTGTTGAAGGTGTATGTGTGTGTGTTGAAGGTGTATGTGTGTGTGTGTGTGTGTGTGTGTTGAAGGTGTATGTGAATAGTGGTTGCAGGGCTGCTGTTGGAGCAGGTGAGCGCGGTGCTAGGGACGTGCGCCGCCACAAGGTGCTATTTGGTGTGTACATGTGTGTGTTGAAGGCGGGCTGCTGAAGGGGTGTGCGTGTGTGTGCAGGGGTTGCGGGACTGCTGCTGGCGCTGGTGTGCGCGGTGCTGGGGTCGTGCGCCGCCGTGGGGCTGTGGCGCCGCTACTGCACGCGGAGCCCGTGCGGGCCCGGGGGCCTGCAGCTGCAGGGGCCCTGCCCGCCCTTCGGCCGCCGCGTGGCCGTCGCCGTGGACGCGCCCCTGCTGCAGCCTCCGCCGCTGCCGCTGCTCGCCGACGCGCCCAAAAAGGTACGCGCTCAACCTGTAGGAATACGCACAGCATTTCACGGTCAACCTTTTCCTAGTCGTTTACCTGCCTTCCCAAAAATGGCGTGTACAGACTGCATTCTGCCGTCTTTTCCTAAGTCGTTTACCTACCCCCTCCCAAACAATGGGCGCATACCAGCAGATCCCACGGTCAACCTTTAACGTTTATCCCCCTCCACAAATGGCATAGCCCGGTTACACCTCGATCTGTTTCCTCTTTAGTGCGAGGATCAATTTCCACATTTCCCTGGCCTGCTTAGAATCGCATTGATCGATTGTCATTTATCCACTTCTATTTTCAAAAAACTTTTACATGTTTTTTTTAGAGCAAAACCAACGTTTAAACGTTTGTGGAAAATAATCATTAAATCACCTTCCACGAGTGTCTTACTCACCTTGCTGACTTAACATACACAATTTCGAAGATTCTGTCATATTCACCTAAGTTCAGGTTTTCTCTGGACTGGTGCGAGAACATCTAGGCGCTACTTATGAATGCAAACTTAACTAAATTGTTTACTCCTTCCTAAACCTCTAATAAACGAATCCTCCGACATTCGACTGGCGTTAATCGGAGAAACTGCAAAGAACTACCCATCAGAGCAACCGTCTGCAGCCAAATAAATCTTCAGGCAGTGGTTTTATTTGACCTAGCTGTATAATTGGCGTCGAAAATCCGGTTCTCAAACCCATACCTCGTTGTCAGATATGCTACAGAGACAATGGGTGTCGTTACTGAGCCATCCTAGTCAATTAACATCGTTGCTTACTATCTGCAGAAAAGTTTTGGACTTGGATAACTTTTCACTACTATAAGGAGTCTTTTTTTTCTTTCTTGGAGATATTTATTACTATTACTATTACTATTAAATAAATTTAAACAACTTTTGTTTTCAATATTATTTTTATATGGAATTTCTTATACTATTGCCGGAGATTGGATACCTTATCACCATTAACATCAATCACAAAGAGTAGAAATACCGTATGGAACAAATAAACTTTTTTTTTGTTTGTTCCTTTAAGGTCGCATCAACATCTAGATCATTGTCGATCCCTATTGCATTTAACGGTATGGTAACTGTGAAGATGACATGATATGCTGATAAGAGAGTGAAAGGATGTACGTGAACAATATGCCTTCGTTCATTAGAAACGGAACTGTTTGCTGATAACGCGAATGTTCTTTGCAAAAAAAAGAAACAATAAATAGTACGATTTTAAATGTTTAAAATTGGTTTCGCAGTAACAAATGAATGCTAAACTAAAGAAAAGGCTTCAATACAGTTTTGCTTTTCAAACCGACAATGCGCCTTTGAAAATGAACAATAATTAATGATATTGGTTGATATTAAGGAGGGTATGAGGCAATACTGAGACAAAATGTTTTCTATAACTCAGGAACAAAAATATGTAGCCTGCAAATATTGCTAACCTTGCAGTACTTCTAATGTTAGTACTTGTTAGTACTTCTAATAATCATTCAACTATCTACACTAAAAGGGTGTGAATGAGATTCTAGAGTTAAAGAAAATTTGCACAGGTTGTAATTTTCCCGTATACTTCAAATGCAGTTTTTTTTTATGAAAATAAACCAAATTATTAAAATTCTTATTATAATTAATTTTTCAGTTCTTTTCAGTTGTTTCACATTCATGTTAGTAGTCACTTAGACAGATAATCAAAAAATAAATCAGTAAAACATCCAAGAAAATATTACTCAGAATTATTTCAAACTAAGCTCCAAGTACACCTAATAGTGAAAAACAATTTCCCCCTCTAGCCAAGCGCTATAAAACTCACTTCAGTAAACATTTGTGTTGTCTAATGAAATGAAACTCAAGTTTTGTACTTGGATTTCAATGAAGCATGACACAGAAATCTCATTGGCATAATCTTGTTGTATCATGAGGTTCTCTGACCATAAAGAAATTTCAAATACATCTAAAACTGCTTATACTGCCAAGAAATTGTAGCACTGTCTCTCCTGGAAGACAGTTAAAAAATACTTTTAAGTTAGAAAGTGTCTATTCAGAACACTTCATTAAGAGAATGACATAAGATTCATTTTCATTGCTGTACGTAATAATTAATTTATATTTATAATATCCTTCTTTTCAAAATGTTTAGCTTGTTCCTTTTTTCTTGGAAGACAATTTTAAAAATAAATCTATAATCTATTTTAATGAATACAGTAACATAACACATAGTTTTTTAACAAATAATAAATACCTACTTAACATAAGCATTCTACATTTGAAAATATTTATTGATTCCTACAGGAAGCACCTCCACCGTACAAGGACACTTGGGCGTAAAGTACTTTCTGGACTTCCAACTTCAGAAGTCTCACATCTGATTTTACTTCAACTGGCATTTTCAAGTGTTGCTGTTAAATTATCTTTCATCTACTGATAAAAGGCTGCTAAATCCCCATATTTGTTTTATTTGCCATGCTTAAATCCTGACTTAAAAATAATGGTGATGAAAGATAAGTGCATGACCTTGCATATTTTGTTAAACTTCGAAATGTATAGTAGTTCTCCCTACCACAATATTTGTGGAAATTGAGGAACTAAATAAATATTATGGAATATATCTAACTCAGATCCTAGTGAATAACAGTCAACAATTTTGAAATTGTAAGTGATTATTGATCATATTGTTATGCTTCTAGGTAAATTTCTTAACTTTACCTTTGTTGTGAGCTAATTTTAAACACACTCTCTTCTGCAACTTCACAAATGAAACTCAAACTGAACATGTTTTAATTTAAACAGTCACTTTTGTAACTCTCTTTCTTTAACTAAGATTTTATTTGCTTTTTTGAATGTTACCATAAATGAAATAAATACCTTATTCATATAAAGTATCAAAGACTGTGTCTGCTAGTATATCCCACATTTTCGCAACATGTGTTAACTTTTTCATTAACTGATTAGTTGAATGGTAGTTGAAATTCATTATTATATTTCCTGTAATTATATTATTATTAATATAAAATGTTAAGTTAAGTAAAGTTATGAAATATGTGTATCTTATTTCAATGATAATGAAAGTAGTAGAAGTATATGTAAATAAGTAAAATATATTGACTTCTTTTTAAAGAAAAAAACACCATATGCCGAAGTAATACAAACTATCAATTCTTCACTCATTGCAGGAAAGTTCCTATGAAATAATGTACACTAAATTATTACATATAACTGTGATGTACTTAAATGAGTGGCAAATATGTAGCTTTATCTCTGATACCAATTGCATTTTATAATTCAATAAAGTTTCTCAATCTGATAGAACTCTCATATACTATATAAAAATGTAATAATGTATAGCATTGTCTGTAATACCAATTGCACAGTATAATTCAATGTTATTCCTGTGTCTGATGTAACTTCTGTGTGAAAGACTTTGTGGAGTGCAAAGGTTCTGGCTTTACTGCAAGTGGGTGGATTTCATGCCAAGACCTTGTCTGAGCTGTAGTGTCATAGAGAAAATAGATTCTAGAGCTTTATTATTTTTCATTTGGCATTGAGCAATGCTTGCTGCTCAAAGCCACCAGTCTTTTCACCAATTCAGGTATACAGATACCAAAGGCATATGTTCAGATCTCTTGCAAAGGCAGAACTTTTAACAAAATTATAGGAGGGAAATAATATAAATTATTGAGTAGTAATTTGTTGGACATTTTAAGAGTTAAAATTTTTATACAACTCTCTTAGCAAAAGAGAAGAGGAAGAGGTGATTAAATGAGAATTCTCCTTCCCTCTGAAGCTGCCACCCAGAAATCACATGATGTCACAGTGACTGGGACATTAGAATTCAACTTATACAGCTCCTCTTTGTCGGGTACAATGCTATCAGAAAACTATGTGTTCGTTCAGTTCTATTAAGCCAATGTAAAATACCATAAGTAGCACAGTCAGCCAGTGTAAAAATTATAAGTTATATTTCAGAATTTAAAGGTGAAGGTTTTCGGATTGACCATAAAATATTATTTTACCATAATAATTCTTTAACATATTAACTCCATATTTTGATGAAAATGACTATCTATTTCATATATTTTTAGTCCATATAAATCTATTCCCTAGTAGTGTGTAAATTGTGATGGCAAGAATTTGAAAAAGTAATGAAACAAATAACTCACACTAGAAGATTAAGTTAAGAAGTAGAATAGAAAAGGGATCGTGGATAGAGTAGTGGAGGGGGGGGGGGAAAGGAGGGGGGAAGGAATGAAGATTCCAAAAAGTAACTAAAAGATGTGCTTAAAAATTAATTCAGTTTTCAACAGGTAATAACATTTCATACACTTGTATCATTCAGTGACTTCACATGTGCTCAACAAAGAAAAAGTTAAGCACCTAAAACTCCTTATTCTACAAATTTCTCATATCCCAATGAAAGTGTTCCCTAAACTTCCTTTTTCCAATCCGCAGGGTTCCTTTTAGAACCAAAAGCATTTCCCTCTTTTCTCCAAATTAATCTGTTCCTAATCACTGTGCCCTTCCATTCTATCTTCATAATAAATAAAGGCAATTACTTAGCTAAGGGTCTAGAGCCAAAACAATACTTTTGAGAAAAATGCAATTGAAAGTTGGAAGAACTTTCATTAAACTTAACATGCAAACATACAACTTTAAATGCAAATATCAGTTTAAAAACTTCTGACATTAATGAACTGTTTGACAAAGTATGTATTAAGTAATTCCTGGCATACATAATTATTTCATCATATAACAAAATAGTTTGTTCTCAATGTGTCCTTTTTCAAAATAATGTGAAATAAATCAAAAAAATATACAAGAATGCAGGATCATTGTTTAGGAAACTACATTGATAAAAGAAGAGAGAAATCTGAGCACAGCACAGCACATTTACATAAAATTTACATACATTTACATTTACATAAAACATACATTTACATAAAATTTACATACATTTACATTTACATAAAATTTGCTAGAATTTTCAGCATAATACATTAAATCGTGTTTCTGTCAGTGGTCAACATAAAAGCAGCCTTTATGAAAAGTATAGCACTTTTATTGATTTCTTTATTGATCTCCATTGAAAAAAAAGCTCATTAAAAATGTTTACAGTTTTACAATGGTTACATGGCACACTTACAATGCTAATCTTGGTTATTATGGTGTAATGAAAAATTAACTTCCCGCAGTTTCACTGCTGGCAATCATCCCTTGAGATGACCCTGAGCGCTCACACTTTTGGGATCAGTTTTCTTATTTGTTCTTATTATTTATTTCTTTTACTATGTTTTGTCAGTTAAATCTTAATTATTAATTAATAAGCATGACCTCTCTTAAATTAAATGTTTTCAGACATCTATGAGTTGTCGATGTCACATCCCTAGTGAGAGAGTGAACGTGAAAAAAACTATAAAATGCACTGATTTAGCATTATGGGACCGTTTTTGCATTTTATCACAGATTGAAAACCTTTAGAAATGTACTGCACTGACCGTCAAACATAAAATTACTAATATTTTCAGTGATTGGTAACATTTCGCCTTTTTAGCAATTGTTAAAGTCTACCATCTCTACTGACAGGCCTTTTTATCAGGAGAACACCTCAATTATTAATAAAACGCTTTTGTTTTTTAACACTACTTACTACAAATCAATGTACTCAGAGTCCACTTAACTTATTTTTTCTTTCCTAATTTATATGCATGTCCTCTTCATTATTTTTTTACTTCAGCTCTTTAGTCATCCTGTTTTATCAAATAGTTTTACACTGGTTAGTTCACGAAAACAATAATTTAAGAAAGAATCACAAGAAACTTTGAATGCAATATACAAGAAGGGAAATAAAAATTAGAGAAGTCTTGCCAAATATAGGCCTATCAATTAAATTCTCATTAATTATCTACTTAGTACAAACGTATTGGTTTTATTTTTCAAAATTTCTTAATAAAATATCAATTTGGGTAATGATTTCTGTTTACTGTAAATAATAGTAATAATTAAAATTTTGTAGACTTTACTCACAAATAATTAGACTTTATACAACGTTAATTGATCGGTATGTTAAAATAAATGTAAATATAAAACTGAGCATTTGTAATGATCTTCAAGTGATAACTCAGTGACATGTAGCTACAGTTACTGTCACTCAGAGCATCCTTGATAACTTGTTGTCACCACCACTTCAATAAAAGATATTGTTTTATAGCATGGTATATAAAAGTTTTCATTTTATGAAATATGTTCATTGTGTATGTTAAAATTATTTTTCTTATGCGTAAGACAGCCCAACAGCTGCTTTCCTGCAATGCATAAATTATTAATTTTTAAATGTGTCATATGTGTGATAGTTGAGAGGTTATAGGAAATTTATTTACTTACTAGTTAAGACATGTGCGAACATTCTGCACTTCAAAAATCATTGTCTAGAAGTGAACAATTCTTCATACTTCCAATTTTGAGTGCTTTAGACAACCCCATGCTGCGGATTGAGAGTACCTTCCAGAACCTTCAAAGAGGTATCTTTTTGCTGTTTGAAGCAGAGGAAACATAACTGATATCACTTTAGGTTGTTTTTTTTTTAATCAATGTAGTCCTAAATATTGGTACTGTATTCTTGTATAATTTTTTGATGTAAGGCTAGGAGTAATTCCTTCTTCGTCAGTAGCACACTTAAGGGGTTTTGTGAAGATGAGGTTTATTGCCAAAGAAACAATAAGAACTGTATGAGTTATATGGAAGGAAGTACTATAGCAGTGATTGGAAGTTAAGAAAAGAAGTTAAAGAAAAATTCAATTATAAAAATTTTCTCCCAAATTAAAAAATATGCACCTTTGTGACAACTTCAAATAATTTTACAAGGTATTAATTAAATTAAATTTTTAAATATTTTTCACTTCTAAATTGGTATCTGGCTGAGGGTTGCCACTCATATCAATTAACTTGACCACTAATAGCTTCAAATGGTGACATGAAGAGTAGAACGAATGAACTAAGGAAACTGGGTAACATGTTATTTTAATGAAAACACAAATATTTAAATTCACATATTGATTCAGTGAATGTTATTTAATCTCTGTCTAAAAATATTTCACAGCACAATGCAGAAACTCCCGGAACTGTACAAAGGAATACATAAGCAAAAAAATGCACAATGTGTATTTAAATATAAATGCACAAAATAATTTACTGACATTGGAAATCAAGAATGTATTTAGTTCCCGCAAATCCTTTAGGGTTAATTGTGTTTGACAGTGCCTCCTGAAACTGTGTAAAGGGTATAACAGTATGAAGAGGAGCTTTCAATTGCTTGGCAACCATTAGTCCAATCAGCTCATCAAACATTCGACGCCGTTCATCACTATCTACATTTATCTTGCTCCATCTTGACATCCAATACCCCACACATCGGATATCTTTGAAAATGAGTGCCGAGGTGGGTAACATCACTGGTTCACGAGACATGCCTCCATAAGTGACCATATAACCTCCGTTGTCCAAATGCCGGAGCATCTCCATTGCATTTTTGCCTCCAACTGCATTGAGAGCAAGTTTTGGTTTGGGTTCCGTTCCACTTTTGAATAAATCCAGTTTTCTGAAAAAAAAAAAGTATGCCTTTACATTTGAATCAATATTATAAATCCATTTAAATATGGGATATCCCAGCCTGACGCACTTCACATCAAGGAATTAATTTGGTAAGAAAATACTTACTTGTCACACCTGTTACAATAATGGAAGGACAAATAAATCATCCTGCCTAATAACATAATGTGTTGATGTCTTATTTCGTCTCTCCCCAAATAACAACATATTAATGTGATGTTGACTTTATCACAACCTGTCCACTATATTCATATATTGATGTTATGTGTAAGCCTATTACAATTTCTTTGATTGCAAGTTTGTTCATCTCTACAAATGGGCAAATGTAATACTGTACATCAATGACCCTGAGAAATGGGTGCATAGGATCTATAATGTCTGTTGTCAAAAATACGCTTTTAAATTGTTGTCATGTGGGTAAAAAAGTGTTTTAACAACAAAACTATTCCGATTCAAGAAGCAGCCCGTAGAGAGACTGTTGGAATAATCTTTTGAAAATGAATTATATTAGCTCAGAGCAGTAATTTAGTGAAGATATGCAATGACATCTATGATTTATTTTGACAGAACAGAGGATGTGATACCATATGTCGTCCCACCTAAAGCAGTTGAGTTTTCAAAGCAAGATGATAAGCAATCTCATTGGGACTCAAATACAAAACAAACAAAAAAAATGTTAAATGCTGAATGTATATTGATTATAATTAAGTTATACTTATTTGAATCAGACTTATAATTATATCATGATGCAAAATATTTAACGAGTATGATATGAACACAATAATTGACTTAAGATAGAAGAATTGTTTCTCCATTCTAACGCTAAACCTACTGAAAATTAGTAGTAGTATTTTGCAAATACTTTTATAAAACATTTAACAACGTTTTTGATGAAGAAAAAGTTAATACAGTAAAATCTGTTTAAAGAGAAACCTGTTCAAGCCAGAAACATTCTGTGAAACAATTTCTGTGAATTTTATGCAATTGACAGAGACACAAAAATCTTTCAATGGAATAAATGCATTCGTATGTCTGTTTTAAGTACTCTGTCCCTGTGATACGAATTTCATTTGTGACAGCCGGACAGTGAAGATGAGGGGCTTCAGCAGTCAGCAAAAAATTCAACCTTGGAGTTGCTTGTGTCTTAAGGTGTATGCAGTAGAGAAAATCCCTCCCTCCAGTTCTCTAAGCATGGGAATTTGTATGAGCATGACTTCTGTTCACACATCTCGCCTTACAATAAGCATCGCAATAAGAATCATAACCCCTCGGCCAGGGTCTCAATGGTCAAGGCCATGGTAGAAATAATGAGGGAATCAGAAAGGCATAGTATTCAGGGCTGTGATGCATTGTGCATTAAAAAGATGATCAGCAGTACGGCTGTAGCCACTAGAGCATGGGTGTCCAACTTGCAATGCCTCAAGGACCACAACGAAAACCTTCATATGGTTATGGGCCATATTTTCATTACTTGAGCGATCCACACCTGACTTTCCCTTATTGCTGATCTCCACAGTTTGCCTGGCTTCTCTGAAATGATGTGTGTGTTGGAGAGAAAATGGATATGAGTGGTGATGCTGATCATGCAGTGAAACACTTTAATAAGTTTTTCAATTCCTGAATTTACTAGCAAACTATACATAAATTTAAATTTTATGTTAAACGAAATGTTTGTTTACATTAATCCCAGCATGTATTAGGCGCACAATATTTTCGCCTGACATGGATGCAAGGGCATTAACTTTTCACTAATAACCCTTGGTAGGCCACAGTAAATGGCACTGTCAGTTGGACAACCCCCTAAAGAGTGAGGTGATGTACTTTTAAATTGTTTGCAACCAGATTAACTATGATTGGAAAAAACATAAAACTCTACACATTAGTTTTTCAACTTCAGAAAACAATAGAAAATTTGTTAGTAAGTGGGAAACCAAAAGTTAAAAACCTCTACATGAATATTGAAAAAATAATATTATTTTAGTGCTCAAGTTCTGAAGATTATCCTTTCAATTGTCAGAAATATGTTTAATATTAATTTATTGGTTATTTCTTCCATAAATACGTTATATGTCAATATATTTTTATAATCACAATAAAGTCATGCACTTTATTAATTTTAGGATAGACATATAAATTTAACAAATGTCAAACCTTAGTAGACAGCCCTCCATAAAACTGAAACATCCCTATACTAGAACTTTGTTCCAATTGATTCTAGCATAGACAAATTTTACCGTGCATAACATTTAAAATTTTGTCTCTGGGAGAAGGTTTAAGCTTCTAACAAAAAATAAAAGTATGCTAAACTGATTTCATTTAACTCTAAAATATAACTCAGAATGTAAAGTTTGTGTTTCTAAGTTCAGAGCAAAACATGAAAGTAAGTCATTGACAATATTTTCTAGAAAATATTCGAAACTTTACTTAAAATTAAAAATGCAATGATTGGTAATGAATTATAAAATAAATTTGTAGACAACCTGTAGGCTGCTTTTCAGAAAAGTAATATTTCAAATACTTGGAATAAAATATTAAGATGACCTTACAAAAAGCATTACAAAAGGGAAATAAACTGTACTATGGTAAACATTTTTCATCCTTAATGATTTCTTAACCTCTTTCATAGCATAAATTTCAATCAACTTACTTAGTTTCCTCTTCCGTAATTACATATGTAGCACCTAGATCAGTTAAGAAACACTTCAGTTCATCAATTTTGGCTCTATTTCGAACTATGTTGATGCTTCGCAGTCCCCAAACTTTACAAAGTTGTATAACATATTGGCCACAAGCACTGTTGCCAGCATTCTGAATCACTGTGTCTCCAGGCTTCAGTTTTACAAAGTCTTTCAGCATCCGATATGCTGTGCAAGGATTCACTGTAAGCGTAGCTGCTTCTATAATTCCCAGCTTCTTGGATATCTGCAAAATCACAATTTGAAATTAAAATATTGTGTATTAGCAAGAAGCAGCATATTCAAGATTAGAAATGAATTGAAAACAAGAAATCAGTTGCTATAATATAATTAAAAAAATAACCAGAAATGTATCCTAAAGTTCACTTCAATTACATAATTTTACAGAAAATAAATGTCAATTGTTTGAAATGTGAATGGTCTGTGATTGTCACATAAACTTAGTGAAGAGAAAACATTACATTAAAACCATACACGTGTGTTGTATTTCTAATCCAATTAAATTTTAAATTAGTTTATTATTTGCAAATAAGAAAGCATAAAATAATAGCTAAGTCAAAATATAATGTTATAATAAACTATTTCCAAAGATCCATTGACCTCCAGCTTAGTATCCATACTCCAGTCTTGAAAACTTATTGCACGTAGGGTGTAGGGGTAGCATTAAACCATCTGGGAGACAAGGTAGTATATGAGAAGGGGGCTTGAAAAATGAGAGTCTTTGCCAGATGAACACCCTTGAGGTGGTACGGGCTCTCTGACAAGTGGCCCTAGGTTGTGCTCTCTTGTAAGTGGGGTGTTCCAAAGAGCACGGTTTCTCGAGGTTTATTGATTGACTGTCAGCGATTTCGGGTGCTTCATCATCAAGGATCATTAGTACTGTAAGTGTAGTGCATGTTTTTGCTCGGTTGGTGGCGGTGGTCTTCACCCACTGGATGGCGAGACTTACCATCGGCGAGCGGGCCCCATCAAGGTATCTCCCACCAGCGGAGCACCGCCACAGCCGGGACAAGCTCTAAGCTCCCGACCGGTCTCCCGGCATGTGTGGTAGTGTAGTACATGATAGTGTACTTGTGTCAAAGGGTGAGGATAGGACAAGGAACAGGCAGGAAAGGTCCGTGGCTCGTTTGGAAGGGTACTGCTCCGGGATTCGCCTGGTGTTGATCGGAGAAACAGCGGAAACTACCGATCAGAGCAACCGGCCGCTAGAATTCTCCTCCAGACAGAGACTGAATTCAACGTAGCTGACAATCTACTGTCGAAAATCCTGCTACCGTCTGGACCCGAACACAGGACTTCCTGGTCAGAGAGACTGCAGTGACATCAGTTGTTGCCCTGAGCCATCTCTCCCGCTGGTTCCTCTTGGAAGGTGGAGTTTCTCTTGGGGGTGGGGTTGTTCTTCGGGGAGGGAAGCAGATGAGGTTTTCGTGGAAGGTGGGGTTCTTCTCATGGGAGTCCCACTTGGGAATGAGATCGCTCTTGCGGGCGAGG